TTAAATTTGACGTAAGTTTATTTAAAGACACTTTAAGTTGTTAATTAGGAAAAGTGAAATCAATGAAAATTTAAATTTTTTTTCAGTGGTATAAGAGCATTTTTTGATCATGGTTTTATGAGAAAAAAATAGAGAGAAAACAAGTGAGTTTCATACATCAAATATGATCTTAAATACTATTCCTTTGGCTTCACCTTCCGTTTTTACAAAAGAAAATTATCAACTATGCACTGTGAAAATACAAACATATCCACAATCTTTTGATTTGTGGAATGTAACATATGCAAAAAAAAAAAAAAAATACAAGCTAAAGAATGAACAAGCAAATATTGCTGAAGAAGAAGAATTTCTTTCTTAAAAATTGGAGAGAAGTACTCTAAAGGATTTTGATGAGAAATGCATAAAATAATTGAATTTTAATGAGAAATGCATCAAATAATTGAAAAGTGACGACAAATGCATCAATAACTAGATGTTGGTGAGAAGTATATCAACAATTGAAGAAAAGTGATTCAAAATATGAAAATTAAATAAGAAATATTGGAGAAAAATGTTCCAACAAAATAAAATTAATAATTATAATTTTTACATTAAGAGAGAGTGTTGAAGATTAATGCAGAAATTATAATTTATTTTATTTATTAGTTTGAATTCAGATAGAATTTGTTTTAATTAGATTTAGAACATATTTTTTTCAAATATCATATTATTAGTGAAAATTTATATTTTAGGAGATTTGATTTATATTTATCTCTTAAATAGTGGTAGATAATTTTTAAAAAATTTGAATTTGATGTAATTATATTTACTGATACTTTAAGTTATTAATTAGGAGAAGTGAAGTCAATAAAAATGTTAGTTTTCTTCATACTGTAAAAATTCCAACAAATTATGCATATATGGGCTCACCAGACTAACTGCATATATTATATTAGGTCTGGTATGTGAGAGATAAATGAGTTGTGCAACTAGTTTTTGGTATCTTTCCAAGTTAATTGATGTACCACTACTTGCTTATAGTTTGTCGTTGCTCTTAATAGGTGATTCTACTGGCTTGCAACCCATCATATCAGTCTCTTCTAGTAAGTTTAAGATATACTTTACTGAACTTGACAACTTCAATTCTAAAAAAATATTATGTTTTTTCTAAATCCTATATTTAAAACTCTTGAGCAAGAAGTTTATTCAATCGAACCATCTCCTTTGTGTCACCTGGAGTCACCACAATATCATCAACATGAACAATAAAAAGAGTGACCTTACCTCATGATGTTTGATAAACAAGGTATGATCAACATTGTTTTGTT